ACCATTATCTAATAACTGTTCACGATATATGCGTGCAATGTAAACACTGATACTACACAATCCCTACCCACTCTGAAGCTCCTGTCTCATCCGCAATTCTATAAAAAATTCTACATTCTGTCTTACCTCTAATTCTTCAATTAAAACTCTACCGTATACATTTCCTGTATACTCAGTAAACTTATTCCTCTATAATTTTACAATCTCTTATGGTCCCCTTCCCTTTATATAAAGGGGACACTATACATGCTTCTCACGCCAATCCCTAGTACCTTTCCTTTCATACATTTATTAAACAAAAGTACCAACCACTCCAACACTATATCCCCCCTTGCTTTTAACAATGTCTGTCATGATCCCATCAGTTCCAGCTGCTTTACCCCCCTTTTCATTCTACATAAAGCCTCACGTACCTTCAGCCACACTTACATCTGCTCTTCCTTCACTCCTAAAAGATGTATACACCCCTGGCCCAGTGCATAAAATTACCGCCTCCCTTTCCTTCCTCAACATTTAAAAGTTTCCTCAAAAATATTCTCCGCCGATCAACCTAATAAATACCTCCCTCTCGCCCTCTACAAACTCCCCTACCTGTTTTAAATGGACAAATCCATACTTTCCAAGGCTTTCTAAACGTTGTTTAACTCACTCCAAAATGTTTTCTTATTTTCATTAAATTTCTTGACAGTGCCTCTCCCACTCTTTTCATCTGCTCTCTTTTTGCACTCTCTCACCACTCTCTCACCTTTCTTTACCTCTCCAATACCTGCTCTTCTTATAACACTTCTGCTTTGTAAAAACCTCGCGTACCTACCTTTTTCCCTCTTTAATCACACCCCCCTTTTTACTTCAGTCCATTCCACAATCACTCCCTTCCTCCTTCCCCCCCACCCCTCCTATAAAACCAACAAACTTCTGCCCCACATTCTAATACTCACTTTTAAAACTATTCCAACCCTCTTCAACCCCCCCCACTACTCATCGTTGTACTAGCCCACCTTCTGCACAATAGTCCTTATATCTCCCCTAACTTCCTCCTTCCCCTTAGTTTATACACTTTCACCTCCCTCTTACTGTTGTTGCACCTTCCTCTTTTCTCCCATCTACCTCGTACTCTAACTTAGCTACAACTAAATAAAGATCCGGTTTTATTTTATATAATAATCAGTTGCCCCGCTATACATAACATATATCTTTTTCTTTAAATCCACACCGGCCTATCCCACCGAGGCGGGTGGCCCAAAGGAAAAACAAAATTTTCTCCTTTTAACAATTAGTAATATATACAAAAGAGTTACAGCCCCTTGGCTCCTGCATTTAGTCGCCCCTTACAGAACACCATGGCTTACGAGGAAGAATTCTGTTCCACTTCCCCATGGAGATAAGAGGAAATAAACAAGAACAAGAACTAGAAAGAAAATAGAAGAAAACCCAGAGGGGTGTGTATATATGTGCTTGTACATGTATGTGTAGTGTGACCTAAGTGTAAGTAGAAATAGCAAGACATACCTGAAATCTTGCATGTTCATGAGACAGAAAAAAGGACACCAGCAATCCTACCATCATGTAAAACAATTACAGGCTTTCGTTTTACACTCACTTGGCAGGACGGTAGTACCTCCCTGGGCGGTTGCTGTCTACCAACCTACTACCTATAATGAGGAATTACTACTGTTCTCAATTATTGTTCAATGTATAAGTTACAGAGTAACCTCTCTTTTTTTTTTTTTTAACACGTCGGCAGTTTCCCACAGAGGCAGGGTGACCCAAAAAGAAAGAAAAAACTTTTATCATCAGCAACACTTTCAACATCACTCATACATAATCACTGTCTTTGCAGAGGCACTCAGATACGACTGTTTAGATGTCCCTCAAAACTGCCAATATTCTAAACCTCCTCCTTTAAAATGAAGGCATTGTACTTCCCATTTCCAGGACTCAAGTCCAGCAAACTGGTTTCCCTGAATCCCTTCACAAAATACTACCCTGCTCACATTCCAACAGCTCATCAGGTCCCAAAAACCATTTATCTCCATTCACTCCTAACACGCTTACGCATGCTTGCTGAAAGTCCAAGCCCCTCGCCCACAAAACCTCCTTTACCCCCTCCCTCCGACCTTTTTGAGGATGACCCCTACCCTGCCTTCCTTCCCCTACAGCTTCATATGCTCTCCAAGTCATTCTACTTTGTTCCATTCTCTTTAAATGACCAAACCACCTCAACAACCACTTTTCAGCCCTCTGACTGATGCTTTTAGCAACTCTACACCTCCTAATTTCCCCACTATGAATTCTCTGCAAAATATTTACGCCACACATTGCCCTTAGATACAACATCTCCACTGCCTCCAGCCTCCTCCTCGCTGCAGCACTTAAAACCCATGCTTCACACCCATAAAAGAGTGTTGGTACCAATATACTCTCTGTATGATGAATTAATAAGATTAGGGGGTAGGTTAGGTCTGTTGTGATGCAACATACTTGGTCTGCTGCACTGCTGATTCTACCAAACACTCCCATTCAGTGGACTCACCAAGTTTTTTCCAGCCAAAAACTTTGTCCATTATAACCAAAAATTCTTGCACAGGAATCTGTTACAGCAAAGGTTTTACTATACCACTGTTTTCTGCTATTATTCAATTGATGAAGAGTTATTAATGTTCTTAATTACTGCTCCATTTAACCTTTTCACTGTCCAAACCCCCAAAATTAATGTTTCTCCCAGAGTCTACTTAAAAAAAAATTCTGAAATGGGGCAAAGTTAATGGTCTGGGTGCAATTTACACATCAGCAATTTCACCAAATTTGAGTCCTATTTTAATTCAATTTCATTAATCCATTCATCCAAATACTTAGCTATTTCACTAGCATACCTTCTGTTCTGTCAACTGAGCCAAGAAAAAACCCATTCAGCTATTACAACTACCCTATGAAGTGCACAGAAGTTGGTAATTTGGTCAATTTTACAAAAATATTAAAATTTAAAAATAAGAGTGTAAAATAAACAATGTAGACAATCCTGGCACTAAAACAACATATCCTGTCCTTTACTGTCCCCAGGCCTCTCCTATATTATTCTTTCTTTCCATTTTGAATTTATAATCACACAAAAATAGATTTACTCTATTTCCTGGATAATAAAATATAACCAAGTTTGATTCAATAATTGAATCATACCTCGGTGGGAAACGGCCGACTTGTTTAAAAAAAAAAACTATTAAAAACCCATAAAACAGACTGGGGGATAGGGGGGCCTTATTGGTCACATTTTTGCTTTTCCCATCATGCATTACATGGGGCAGGATTTTTTATTCTATGCACACTCACTGCAAAGAGCCATTCTTTCATATCTAGGACAAAATTTACCACTCACAGCTTATCTGAGTGAGGTGAGCTCATTACACAGAACTAAATGAGGGTCTATGGCCTCAATGATGTAGTTCTACATGACAGTCACTGAAAGGGTTAAAGACTAACAAAACAAACTAACATTAGCAACAGGAGAACAACAGATAAAATAATTAATAGATATTTCAGAAACTTTAGTAGTTGTAGTTGTTATTGTTGTTGTTCTTGTTTTGCCATACACCTGTGGGTCAGAGGCTCTCCAACAATGCTCCTCTGTTCTCTTGTTTTTATGCACTATCATTACTATTACTAACTCTTTCCATACTACTACATTATTATTACATCTACCACTGCTGCTATTTCCTCCTACTACTACTGCTACTATTTCCTCATTACTTTCACCCTTGCTATACTACTACTACTACAACCATCCTGTTTTTCTCTGCCTTTCTTCACTCAAGTTGTGACTTGGTGATGGTCCAGGATGGACCAAAACATCATCATAAGTTTCCTCTCCTATGTGTGGTTTTTGGTGAATTTCACAATACAGTACATAGCAATGATGCAAGTGATGTATTTGTAAATACTGTGAAAACTCAAGTCAAGACACAAGTGAATCCACAGTCTAAACTATTAATATTGCAGCAAATATTACAGTAAAGCTCCTAATTAACAGACAACCTTTTAATGAACATCAGAAATTACAGACAAGAAAGTGGCCAAACATTAGAATCATCAGACAAAATGGAAAAAAACTGTAATTCCAGATTTCATCTATAGCGACAGTGTCCAGTTATCTTCTGAATCCATCGGACTAAGTCCAATGATTCCATTTTGTATGACTTTATTAACATATTAAGTAAAGTGCAATTAACAATAGCTACTAAAGCAAGTGGTGGTGCCAAAAGGAAATTTGTGAATTTCAGTGTAAAGTGGAAACTTTAACTAATAAAGAAGATCAAGTCTGGCATCTCAGTGGCACTAGAATGTGACAAATAAGGTGTTAAGAAACAAGCAGTATCTGATATCTACATCCTCTTAGCCATCTACAACTTCACTAGTAGAGCTTTATGGCTCCTATGACTCAGAATAAAAGTTATTCTGAGTCATAGAATAAAAGAATAAAAGTTATTCTGAGTCACCACTACTGATCATAATAGCTTACACTTCATCCTTCTACCATGAAAACCTAAGTAAAATTACTGTAAATTACAAACTATGAAACTACTATACAATACTGTGCTGTTGTACTACAGTTACACTAAGTGTCTAGTAGTCTTCTGAATCAGCAGACCAGATTTGCTGATTCAGAATTTTGTCCATTTATGTTACAATCATGAAAAATTAATTACATAATTAGGAATCTACGAACAATCAGCGATAATATACACTCCCTCCCCCATTAGTCCATTAATTAGAGAGTTAAATGTATAAACCAGAATGACAAACATAGCAAATACAAAAGTTAAAATACAATAATAGCAAATTACTAGTAATTTTTTAATCGGAGAAATAAGGTGACATTAGGGTTTCAACAGGGTCAGTTAAGTGAAAGAATTTTTTGTTTATTTTATGGCCTGGCATAGACTTTTTTCAGTAATGGAAGGATGAAAATGAAGATGCCACTGAAAAACATTTTTGAAGTCATGCACTAACCGGCATAATATTGGTAAGGTCGAGCCGCTGTAGTTTGTGGCAGGTGGAAAGGTGAGTGTGTAGGTTCTCTGAATGGATTTTATGGCAGTAAGAAAGGTTAAGGCCAACAAGATGTGGACACAACTGCACTAGTCTTTGCAAGATATGCGGTGTCACAGCCTCACTCCACCCAGCTGAAAAAGATCAGTCAAATATGAGTACAATATGTGATGTAAGTTTACAGAATGAGTTAAAAGCAATGGCAGTTTGTCCACAGGAGCTACAGAGCTGCAGTCCCCCAGATGCTCACTGTCAGATGTATGACTTCATCAACCTTACACTAAAATAAATTGCAACTGACAATATATTACAGGAAAAATCTGTTATATGTTGTTTTCAATGCATTTATAAGCAAATTTTTTATTTTTTTGTTGAAACGAGATAAAAAATGTGTAAAAATAGAAGGTTGACGTGGTATGATAGTATAGGTATTACTGGCGTCATGAGCCGACACTGGTTAAAAGTATAAATATTTAAAGTTGTTTAAAAACAATTTGTAATGCAAACTTGTCACGTGCACCCATGCATGCACATACTGACACACACAAACAAAAAATAAAAAATGACATACACACTAACACACACACACAGTTTATTCATAAAACATGAGTTCACACTGCACATTCTCAATAAAACATTAATAAAATCTTGTTTTATAGTGCCATGTTGCACAGGAAAAACAGAAAAGCAAGCCATAGAATGTGGTAAACACTGTACGACAAATCCCGTTAGAATATGCCATGGAATACAGCACAAGTATTCATTTAGTTCTGGATAGTTTAGCTATTCTTAACCCATTAACTGTCTAAACGTAGATCTACATCCTTACCGCTAGCGCTCCAAACGTAGATCTACGTTTTACTTTTTCCTGCCTCCAAATTTGGCACAATTGGCCTGAGATGCCTGGTCAGCATAGACTGGGTCTTAACACTCGGTGTGTGCAGTATTAAAAAAATCTGGGACCAATTAGTACCTTGTGGGAGCACCAGTTCAACTAAGTGCCAACTAGAGCAAACAGCATGGCAAACACCTGGGATTCGCTGATGTCATGTTGTATTAACACTCCCCTTTAAGAGGAAAGTGATGATGACCCAGAGTTTAGTGGCTTTGAGGTAGATCTGGCCACAAGTGGTCGAGGAAATATCAAAAACCTTGATAATAACCCATATGCAACATCCTTTCAATTTTGGTACCACTGATAGTGTCATCCTGCCAGAATGTACTATAACCTATGCCCTAAGTAAAAAGAAAGAATTCTGGAATGTGTAATACATGTTCAGCAGGCTGGCTGGCTGAGTGGCTGTCTATCTCTGTCTGTCTGTATCTATCTCTGTCTCTGTCTATCTGTCTCTATCTCACAGGTACACACAAATACAATTATACATAGTGTAAATTACCTAGGATAACCCAAAATATCCAGACAAAGTGCTATACTGTGCTTGTAGACATAAGGCATGATAAGCATGACTGGCAAGTAATATGTACTCCATTTGATCAAGAATCAAACGTGACGAGTCTGACAACTCTGACAAGCAGACAGAAAGACAGACATACACCGGAAGACAGAAAGACAGGCACACAGAAAGACACACACTGGCAGACAGAAAGACAGATAAGCAGACATAACTAGACAGACAGACAGATATGTTTACATGTAAAAGTGAAAACAAAGCCAGGGGTTCCCTGCAGCAATGCACGAACATCAAGTGTCAAACTACTGCTGCAATGTCAGCAGTTTAGTGGCACTCCTTTGATATACTTTTGAAGAGTTTCGAGAATTAATCTATTCTGAGCCCGGCCATGGGCCAGGTTCGTCTGGTGGCTGCCTGGTAAACCAGGCTGTTGCTGCTGGAGGTCCCGCTGCACCACATATCCATCACAGCCTGGTTGATCTGGCACCTGGTGAAGATACTTGTCCAGTTTCCTCTTGAAGGCTTCTACACTTGTCCTAGCCGTGTTTCTGATATCTTCTGGTAAGATGTTGAATAGTCTGGGACCCCAGATGTTGATACAGTGTTCCCTTATTGTCCCCACCGCACCCCTGCTCCTCATTTGGTTTATTTTACACTTCCTCCCATATCTCTCACTCCAGTATGTTGTTATGGCAGTGTGCAGATTTGGGACCAGGCCCTCGAGTACTTTCCAGGTATATATTATCATGTATCTCTCTCTCCTCCGCTTCAATGAATACGTTTTCAAGACTTGCAGGCATTCCCAGTAGTTTAGGTGTTTTACAGGCTCAATGTGAGCCATAAATGGTCTCTGTATTTGTTCCAGCTCCGATATTTCTCCTGCTTTGAACGGGGCCATCAGCACTGAGCAATATTCTAAGTGAGGGAGCACTAGCGATTTGAAGAGTGTCACCATTGGTATTATTTCCCCTGTTTTGAAAGTTCTCAATACCCACCCCGTCATCTTGTTATGGTCTTTAAAAGAAAGGTCCACTGACATAATTATTCCCAGGTCTTTTATGTGTTCCTTACGTTCTATTTGGTGGCCCTCTTGAGTTTTGTATATGGTGTTCCTTTTGAGTTCTTCATTCTTTCCATACCTAAGCAGCTGGAACTTATCACCAGTGAACGTCATGTTGTTCTCCACTGCCCACTGGAAAATCCTGTTTATGTCTTCTTGAACTTTTTCAGTGTCCTCTACTGTAGTGACTTTCATGCTCATTTTAGTGCCATCTGCAAATGATGATACAAAAGTGTGCTGGGTGTTTTTATCTATGTCTGCTATGAGCATGAAAAATAGCAGAGGTGCCAGGACAGTGCCTTGGGGCATTGAGCTTTGGACCTCGCTGATGCTGGATCTTGCCCTGTTCACTACTATTTTTTGTGTTGTGTGTGTTAGGAACCCAAAAATCCATCTACCTACCCTCCCTGTAATGTCCATGGCCTTCATTTTGTGCACTATCACTCCATGATCACATTTGTCAAACACCTTTGCAAAATCTGTGTAAATCACATCTGCATTTTGGTCATCTTCCAATGCCTCCATAATTCTGTCAAAATGGTACAGCAACTGTGACAGGCATGATCGTCTTGCTCTAAACTCATGCTGGTTTGGGTTATGCTGGTTGTGCTGGTCCATGAAATTTGTAATCTGCCATTTCATCACTCTTTCGAAGATTTTTATGATGTGAGAGGTTAGGGTTACTGATCTGTAATTTTTAGCTAGTGCTCTACTACTTCCCTTATGCAAAGGAGCTATGTCTGCATTCTTTAAGGCCTCCAGTATTTCACCTAGATCTAAGCTCTTTCTCCAAAGAATACTGAGGGCTCGTGCTAGTGGTACTTTGCACTTCTCTATAAATAGAGCATTCCATGAATCTGGTCCAGGCGCTGAGAGAGTGGGCATGTTTCCCATTTCTTTTTCGAATACTATGGGATTTGTACTGTCAGTTAGTTGGTCTGCGTGGCCTTCTTCTGGAGTGAAAAATATTTCTGCATTTTCTACCTTGGTGTCATTTAGTGGGTTGCTGAACACCAACTCATACTGTTCTTTTAGGATTTCACTCATTTCCTGTTTATTGTCAGTATATGAATCTCCTCTCAGTAGTGGTCCAATTCTACAGGTAGTTCTTAGCTTGGATTTTGTGTAAGAATAGAAATATTTTGGGTTTCTTGCAATGTCCCATATGGCCTTTTGTTCCCTTTGCACTTCTGTGAGGTATGACATCCAAAGTTTCTGCTCTAATTCAGTGATCTCTCGGCTAAACCTATCTTTCCTCTGTTGTAGCATATCTGTGTTTTTAAGCAATTCAATAACCTGTTTTCTTCTTCTGTAACATCTCCTATGCTCTTTTTCTATATCTGATCTTCTGGGTTTCCTCAATGGTACTTGCTTCATACATACCTTGTATGTTTCTCTATTCAGCTTCTCTGGGCACTGGTGGGAATTTAGGGTGCTCATGTCTGATTCCAGGCTATGTCTGATAGCTCTTGGTTTATTTTTTCCCAGTCAATTCTATGGTTGTTAAAATTAAACTTACTGAAGATTCCATCTCTAACATTAGTGATGCAGTTCCCTAACCCTGAATTAATACTCGTTTGAACTTCTATGATGTTATGATCAGAGTACATACATTGTTTTTGTAACTGTTATGTCTCTGATCTGCTCCTCGTTGTTTGTGAATATCAAATCCACGGTATTTTCATTTCTAGTGGGATCAATTACCTGTTGGTTTAATAAGTACGTTTCACAAAGTCTCATTAGTTCCCTGGTATGTGCCTTCTGAGCCACAGTGCTTCCCGGAGATATTTCTGGTATAACATTATGTTGCGCCATCTTCCAATTTGCATGAGGGAAATTAAAATCTCCAAGGAGTAAAATATTTGGTGTGGGATTTTCAAGCCTATCCACATAGCTATCTTCCTTAGCTGATCTGTGAATTCCTCAGCAGTTGCTGATGGTGGAATGTATACAAGGATATATTACCAAATTCCTATTTTCAACTTTAAAGCCTAGCATTTCTACTATATCATTCGTAGAGTTCAGCACTTCTGTGCAACAGAAAGTATCCTTTACATAGATTCCTACTCCTCCCTGTGACCTATTAATTCTATCACAACTATACGTGTAGTTTTCTATCTTTATCTCTCCATCCAAAACATCCCTTGTGTGTGTTTCTGTAAATGCTCCAAACATGGCATTCGCTTCTGTTAGGAGCCCACTGACATCGCTAACCTTGTCATTTTTATTTGATTTCAAACCTTGAATATTTGCAAATATGAAGCAGGAATTACCATTTGGGATGTTTTGCCTCACCTTGTTTCGTTAGTATCACTGGTGATGTACTACCTGGTTTGTCCCCTGGTGTACAAGCCCCTGGTTTCTCCAGTACTGGCTTTGCATTTGGTTGCTTATTCGGCCTTGATGGGCTGATGCCTGGTTTGGTATGCCCCATTTGCTGCCCATCTGTCCTCTCTGTACCATTCCCCATTTGTCTCTTCCTTTGGTTTGATTTTTTCTCTTTTTGTCTAAAAAAGATTGCTGTTCAATTTCCCTTTCTCTGCTAACTCTGTAGTGTCATGTTCCTTTTATATGGTGGTCTGGGCAGCTCAGGTCGTAACATTCTCTGGACTGTGTTGAACCTTCACACATTACTGCATGGAAATACCTGCACTCTTTGTTG